AAACAAGTCTCAGGTCTTGACGGGGGGCCACATGAAATGTTGAAAGCAATTTCGCCAACCAAAAGCGTACCCGTTCAAAACCCGTACTTTTTCAACATTATGGTAAACAAAATCCAACCTGAATTTTCAACATTTAGCCAGGCAATCTTACAGCATGGACCCACTGTTAATTGTTGGCAGCCATGCTGCAGTTTCTCGCGGAAGGAATTTTTCCGTACTACGGAAAAATCTTTTCCTACAGCCAGGAATGCGTTTTTCATTCCTTCGCACTTGCTGGTTGGGGTTCCCAAAAGGGAGGGGCCCCTTTAAAGAGGATATAGGGTTCATATAGAGGTGATAAAGGGTTTAAGGGTTCCCAAATCAGGGGTCTCTTTAAAGTGGATACAGGGGTATCTGGAAGTGATAAAGGGCTGAGGGGTTCCCAAAATCAGGGGTCCCTTTCAAGGGGATATATGGATACAGTAATACAGAGTTGAGGGTTCCCAAAAAATTTGGTGTACAGTATGATTGTAAAGTCCCTGCAATAAGGAGCATGCATGGTATTTGGTCCACATTGGGGTCCCGCATTTCGGGAAACGACCATCCGGGAAGCTCTTTGAAGGCCATGCGGGGGAGCCATAGGGGTTTAGGAAGCGCGAATATAGGGTTTATGGAGCTGAGGGATCTATATAGACTGGGATCTGGACTTAAGGTTTCTAGCCTTTTGCGTATAAGGGCATTGTTCAAGTTTAGACTCAGGTTTTATGGTGTAGGATGCTGTAGGATTTTGCCAGGGCTGAATAGACGTTATGGAATGTGTATAAGTAAATAATAACAGACATATATATATATTCATAATATATAGACGAGGATGGTCTACAGGAATTTGGAAGATGTAGCGGGGAGGGATTGGTAAAACTTGAATTTCTTCAAGGAAGGTTAAAGTAATCTCCACGGCCCTAAAACCCTAGACCTTGAAACCCTAAACCCCTAAACCGTAAACCGTTTTCTAAACCCTAAAACCTCAACCCTAAAACCCTAAACCCTAAAACCCTAAAACTCTAAAACCCTAAAACCCTAAACCCTACACCCTAAAACCCTAAACCCTAAAACCTAAGATCCTAAACCCTAAAACCCTAAAACCCTAAAGCTGACCCAGCGGCACGGTCTCCCAGCAAAGCCAGGAACTTGTCCGGATGCCAGCGAAGCAAAGCCTCTCCGATGATCCTCTGAGCCTCCTCAACCGTCAGGGAGTCCTAGGATAATATTGGGGTAATATTGGGGTTGTTATAGGGATAATGGAAAAGAAAATGGAAACTACTATTTAGGGTTTAGGGTTCAGGGCTTAGGGGTTTAGGGTTTCAGGGTTTAGGGATTTAGGGTTGTATGGTTTTATGGTTCAGGGTTTTAGGGGTTTAGGGTTTTAGGGATTTAGGGTTCTAGGGTTCTAGGGTTTAGGGTTCAGGGCTTAAGGGTTTAGGGTTTTAGGCTATAGGGTTGTATGGTTTTATGGTTCAGGGTTTTAGGGTTTCAAGGTTTTAGGGTTTAGGGTTTAGTGGTTTAGCCCCTGCGGCGGTTCGCCTTGAGGTGTTGTTTAAAGATCATTTGGAAAGCTTCACCTAGGAGTACCTGCAGCGAGTTCGGCAAAAATACTGCACACATGGCCATGTCTATACATGACACCTACATTGGGTCCTAAAGTCTGTAAATAAGAGATGATCTTATTTCTAACCTTGCTATCTTTTTCTAACCTTGTTTCTTTTTTCAACCTTGGAAACCTGGAAAAAGAAACAAGGTTGGAAAAAACGATGACAAGGTTTAAAAAAGAGATGCCCTGTAAATAATACCTAAATTGGGAACAAGAATCAGGAAGGGCCAGAATGTTGTGTGGAGGACCTTTCGGAAACGGCACAGTCTCCGCACTCACCTCGAATTCCTTCGTTGTTTCGCGACTTGCTTCGGGAAAAGACTAGAAAAAAACAAGCATGACACAGCACGCACAACTGCACATTCCGTCGCCCGAGAAACTGGCGAGGAAAAAGCTGGATAGCATAACTTAAGTGTGGTCAGTAGGGGCTGTGGGAATATGTTATATAGGACTGATATAGGGATTGTAGTCCCTCATTCCCTACTAGCAACCAGTAAGGTAAGAGTGCAGAACTCGACCCTAACCCCTATTCCTCACACAGACTGACATGCAATCCTATGTGGCCGCATGGCCCTCCTTCGTCTAGAGCTCCATAACAATTAGTTTGGGGGCAGGGTAAAACTCTAAATCATACATCCTGCACATCCCTGCTTACCCTCTAAAAACTGGATGCTCCAAATCCATAATAACAGTAACAATTGTAAGAATACTAGTAGTAATAGTAATAACAACAGTAATAGTAGTAATAATAATACTAATGCTAATAACAATGCAGGGAGGCTTGGTTGAAGCGCAGCTCATCCTCAAACAGTTTCCATCTGGCGGCATCTCCCTTGCGGACCTTACAACCAGGCTGCTTCTGCCAATCTAACACCCCAAAATGGTGGCCCTAATTTCGGGAAATGCATGCTTTAGAGATTTCAAAGGGATGTTTCTGAGAAACACCGACTTAGATTTGTTTTGCTGAGTGAATTTGGGATATTCTTCTGCATTCCACCCCTACCCCCCTCTCTACTGCCCCACTCGGTTCCCCCTTGATTAGCCTTAATCAGCTTTGACTATCACTAAATAAGCTGATCAATGAAGGGGGCAACCTAAAGGGGTCATATAGGCTAAATTTCATTGAGGCAAGGGATGAATAGACTTGGACTGAAAAGTACTCGTCACCTTGCCCCGATGCTAAAGGGCATGGTGCCTACTATCTGGAGATGGCGGAGTCCTTCAAAGGACAGATCTTCGCACCACTCCCCCCATAGGCTATACACCCCAACCCGGCAACATGAGTATGTGTCCTGCGTTATATATGAATAGCTATTGGTATTGGGGGGGCTTGGAAGATCAAATCTCAGGGGAAGGAAAAGAAAACATGTCGTGATAATGTTAATCATGTCTGACCAAGTCGCAAACGAAACGTGCAAAGGATATACGTTGGGTACTGCCCCCAGCCAATAGCAGTCCATTATAATGGTAAGACTAAGGGCTCTATGTATACATATATATATATCCTTTCTATACTGATTTACTCAAATGTTACTGAGTGGGGGCAGTACACAAACCGTCTGAAGCTGAAATTATCAACCTCTATGAAACCTAATCACCACTCACAGGACCCAAGGCCAATCCATAGACCCAAGCCCTAAATTCAAAACCTCAAGCCCTATTAATCCCTGTAAACCCTTACAATTAGAAGCCTACTTTCCATTTCCGTGTCCATGCCCTTGTCCATTTGATGTTGTATTATTGGGGCCGGGTAATGTTCCCAGACCCCACATCATCCCTATATGCCCTGTACTCAAACGTAAGCTGTACCAGAAGAGGTCCCTCACCGTAAGACGTAAGACCAAGCAGCAAAAGAAAGCAAAGACGTGAGACCCTCAACCCAAATCAGTAAAGCAAGGCTTTATAGTCACCCTTAAGTAGATAGAACATGGTTGCGGGTATAGTATAATCATATCCCCATATACCCCATATTCTATCTACTTCAGGGGGACTATCAAACACTGTAGAGGCCTAAACAATTACCAGTTTCAGCCTGAAGTCTGTTTGACATACCCTAGCCAGGAATCTGGGACCATAATGTTGGTCATTCTTGAGGCCCCTGTATCACACAAAAAAATAGCTGGTCGCCCCAAGCTAGACTGCTAGACCCCCAACTCCTGTGATTGTAGACCTTCTAGGAAATTCAAAAAAACCGGTTGCTGTTAAGGAACTTAAATTAAGGTACTATTTTGCGAAAACCATATTAATTACTGTAAAATATACACATTTTGGTAACTTAAATCAAGTTCCTTAACAGCAACCCAGAAGATGCCTAGGCGCCTCTTCCAGATGTTCATCCCGCCACTTAGGTGCGCGCACCCTCTGTGTCGGTGTTGCCTGAGGGGGGGGGGTCTTGCCTGAAACAAAGCCCCGAGGAGCCCCAGTGATTTCAAGGGCGTTGGTGCCAGGCGGGTTCTCAGAATAAGGTCCTCGAAAAGAACTGACCAAGATCTCGGAATCCAAGTTTACCCTAACCCTAATGCCCTTGCATTGGTCTGGGCGTGCGCTGAAGGGTCCAGATTCTGAACATTCATACTGCGTGTACAATTCTTAGCCACTGGGTTTTCCATGCATTTCGCTTGAGGGTATAGTCCCCCTTAAGTAGATAGAATATGGCTTTGGGTATATTAGAATAAGATCCCCATATACCCCATATTCTAGCTACTTAAGGGGGACTATATGTATAGAATAGGCTTAGGATGCATAGCTTCGAGTTGATGATACGGTCAGGCTCATTGTGACGTAGGATTTAGCACCTTAAGTCTATAACCCTAAAATTTTCACCTATACCCTGAACCCTACTCCAAGGCTTAGGATTGAGGGCTTGAATGGTTTTTAGAATTTCGGCGTGGTGCTCGGGCAGCACGAACGGGAAAGGTGTGCAACAGGCCAGAGCCCACAATCAAAAACATGATCCCTTTCTTGAGCATCCAAACTTTCGTTTATTTAGGATTTGAACATTCCGAGCATAAAGCAAGGAGACCTGGATTTCAGAAATGTAAACTTCTCGTCTGCAGATATCAGAGTGCTGCAACTCTCTTGCTGGATATTCTTTTGCTGTCACAGTTGCATCCAAGTCTGCCAAGAGCTTTGCCACGTCAGCAGACAGCCTCACAGCTTGCTTGAGTTCCTGAAATAAGCCCAAACGCTACAAATCTACGCAGCTCAATTGCCGTGTACGTGCTCCCCAAAAGTCCCTTCAACATCACCAGGATCTTCCGAAACCACTGCAGGGGTGGATTGGGCGACCACAAAATTCAATCTGAAATGCGCTAGGCCGCCACTCAAGCTCCTACCCCACTAATTTTGGCTTATCCGACGCTCCTCCTGGATTGCTATGGAAGGACACCACGAGATGTCCTCATCATAAGAGAAACCCTCGAAGCGAATTCGATGCAGCAGGAAAGCCTGAGCCAGCGCTTGGCCCTGGTGATGGCGACGTAAAGGATGTTCAGCTCCTGGTAGACTTACTGGTGGTTGGCAGGGAATAGAATCCCTATATAATCTACTCCCATACTCCCTACTGAGCACCAGTAAGACAAAGTGCTGTAGTGGACGTCAGCCTTTCTTTACCCGCCGACAGAGAAGTCATAGATTTACTCAGATGGCCTCATACATGAGTTGGCTAGCATGTTTCCGTTACTGTACCCACTGCCCAAGAAGCATCAAGAAGCAGAACCACACGCGCGTGTAAAGTCAAAACTCGACAGCGGCATGAACCTTTTACAGGGGTGCCATTAAGCTCTACCACGTACCTTGTCCACGATGTCTACCTAAGCAGCTTAAGCAGATGCTTTTCCTTGGTAAAATACGATGCCATTGGGGAACCTGTCTTTACAACTCTCAAATAATACAGCCCGATGGGGAACTTGGATCTTCAGCTCCTCTTGGAAATAAGGCTTCCGGATGCTTTCCTGGGGCAAAAGAATTCACGCGCGAGCTTCTCAAAATGGATTTGACTTTGTGGGCTACAATTGGCTTAGGGTGCAGGGGTTTGAGGATTAGGGTGGTTTGTTTTGGCGCTTTCTCGGCCAGTGGCTAGCTTGGGGGACAGGTAGCTGGATCACATAATAGAAGTTTCTCAAATTCAGGCATAGCATTTGCATTTGCGGGTCCCCATGCTATGTTTGGGTCTTTCTGGAGAGTAGCAAGAGTAGTTGGCAACATCAACTGTCCTCCTGTTGAGCTCAAATATGCGTGATGATTTTTGACTGTCAGAAATACATTCCGACATGATTTTCTGTAATCTGCTGGCTGATACAAAAAGGCGAAGAGGATGGATGGATTGGCTTCGCCAAGGGGTCTGGGCGTGACGAGGAGGTAGGCCTGTGAAGCTCCCTCATCGTTCGGTTTCGTCCTAGCAGATTTGCTGAAGTGACGCCTCCTGCAAGCCCCAGCATCTTTTACATGTACTTGATGTATTTCAGCACCAAGTAGCAGAACAAAGGCTTCACCCAACTTAATTATGCTCCGTCATGTCCTAAACTTTCAAATTCCTGTGGCCCCTCGACTCTCAGGGCTTGGCCAAGATGCCTTGAACAATTTCAACCCAAAGACCGAAGGTTTAGGGTTTAGGGTCAAACTCAACTGCCCAATCCAGCTTCGTAAGGGAGGATCTTGCCATCTTCCCCATAGGGCATGGTGAAGTCAGATGCAAGCTCCACGTATTCGAACTCCAGACCCTTGGCCTGAGGTTTAGGGTTTAGGGTTTTAGGGTTTAGGGTTTAGGCAGCTAAGGTTTCGGAGTGATGTGTAGGGTTTAGGGGATATTGGGGTCATGACGGGTTGTATAAGGTTTTTATAGAGGTCTCTATAGAGCTTGTATAGGGATGTATAGGGTCATTTCGGGGTACCTTTGCCCATGGGGGAGTATTACCGCAATACTGGAGAATAAACTGGAAAAGACAAATAACATTGACAATAGTGTCTCCAAAATAAGCATGCAGATTTCCAAAAGGTCTAGGGTTTAGGGTTTTGGGTTCGGGGCTTAGAGTTTGGGGTTTAGGGTTGAGGTTGTGGAGCAAAAGGTCGTTAGCCAGAAGTACAGTGAATGTATAGTCCCCCTTAACTCGATAGAATATGGGGTGTATGGGGATCTTATTTTAATGTACCCAAAGCAATATTCTATCTGCTTGAGGGGGGATTATAGACCTTGATTAATCAGCCCATCCTCTTCATGAAGCCAGATGGGAGGATACCCGTCTTACCTTTGGGCTAGATTGGGATGAAGGAGTGGACAGGAAAATGGAAACTACTATATTTGATTGTATACGGTTAGGGTTTAGGGTTTGGAGGGAATGGAAACGAAAATGGAAACTACTATAATGGTATATATAGGGACTGCTATAAGGATCCATTCCTTCATTCCTAGCTAACCGAAGGTAAGCTAGGGCGACAAGGGACTGGAGTTCATGAACTAGCAGTACACATTTCTACTCTATGCAGGTCACCAACCCTGAGCCCTAAACCCTAAACCATATTGAACTATTAGGGTTATATTAAGGTTATATTGGGGTAATATTGGGTAATATTACCCCAAACTCTTCAGCACTAAGTTCTGAAACCCAAGCCCTGAGACCTGAACGCTCAACCCAGGACTCTAGACCTCGTTTCGCTCATTTCTACAAAAGCAGCCAGAAAGTTTAGCTTGAGCATCCTCCTAACGCATGGCGTAGAAGGGAGAACACCAAACATCATCCGATTTCCATGTTCCCAGTTTTGGTTTGGGGTTCAGGGTTTCCCTAAGCCCTGAACGGCCTTAAGCCGTCAACTTATTTGGTCTTTCTTCGTGAGCGCGAGCCTTGTGGGCCGTGATGAAAGCCAAGTCGGCTTCCCGCCAGTCCTGGTTTGGGTTTAGGGTTCAGCTGAGGGTTTAGGGTTTAGGGTTTGAGACTTTCTCAAAATTGGGGGCCGCTAGGGACACCAGCGATATATAGGTATTCTGAAAGACGACTAGTGGGGTCCTTCCTAAGAATTATATAGGGATTGTTTTTCCAACGTGCCTAGAAGGACCTGTTGAGCCTAAGGTTTAAAGGGATATGACTCTTTGGGGATTTGGATTTGGGTTTGGGGTGTGAGGATTCTTTTGAAATCAGAGCCCCAAACCCTGAGGGTTCCACAGGCCTCGCCTCAACGTACTAAGAAACCTGTTCTCCAGCGTTTGAATAGTGGAGGAGTTGGCATGAGATTCTTGAGTAAGTGCCGTTCTGCGCTGAGAGGAAGAAGGCTCAAAGTAAAGACCCATGGGCTGAAATGTTGCAACCCAATCCACAATCAATTTTGGGCTGAAAACTTACACGCAATTATGCCATTGTAAAAGTAGGACTGCAATAGAATCTCTACGACGCCCTTTTTGTAACCCATATTAACCCCTAAAACCCTGGTATAAGAATCCCTATTAACAACCTCATATAAAAACCCGGATAACCCTCATGTAAAACCCCTACAACCCTCATATAACCCCATAGAAGTCTCGGAGTCCTCCAGAGGAGTGCCCAGCTTGGTCAGCAAGGCTGGAATATTGCCTTGGCCCACGGAAAATGATGAAAGAGTTTAGGGTTTTCGGGTTTAGGGTGTTCGGGTTTAGGGTTTGGGGTTTAGGGTTGTAGGGTTTGGTACCCATTGGGGTAATATTAGGGTTATATTAGGATAATGGAAAGAAAATGGAAACAACTATAGTATGTTGGGGTTATAGAGGGGTTATATTGGGATAATGGAAAAGAAAATGGAAGAACTACCATTTAGGGTTTAGGGTTGTCATTCCTGTCCTTTTCCGCGGTGTACATGAAGATTTTGGGGGTCGACTCCTTTAATGCTCCTGTTTGGTGGCTTCCGATGGTCCTTGTAAGGCAAGGGGTCATTTGCCATATTAAGCGGGATCCTTATCACGATGGGAACCTACTTTATGGCGATGTTGAGGACAGGCAGTTTGAACAACTAGCCTGTGGAAATCGGAAAAACAAAGTGGATTCCAAACTGATGGCGTGAATACGGGTTTAGTTGTATGCAGAATCCTGGCCAAGGACCAAGCCAAAGCTTCTTGAACTCGATGAACCCCCTACGTATCTGGCACTGATCCATCTGAAGCTGAGCTGCCCTCGTGCTCTTCCACCAAGTCCGCCAATGTCCTGGGTTGCCAAGCTGCCACGCGAAAATGGCAGCAGAAATGCAAGAGCCTGTAGAACCAAGCCTGAAGTCAACCTTTCGGGTGGCTTGGAGCTGCGAGAACCCAATGGTTTTAGGAGCAGATGCGGACAATGTTGAACAATTTTTCTGAAACCTTTACCTGTAACGAAAGCCCCAAACCATCTGCCCAACTTTGAACCTGGCAGACACTTGGACAAACTCAAGGACCCTGCGAGATGAGCAGCAAAGAGACCATCAAACCCAAGCCAAAGCTCTGGCTTTTAGGGCCAGAAGCCCTAACATGATAATCTTGGATCATGAGTCCTCGCCCCTTACAAAGTGATGTCATTTCAGGGCATCCTCAGTGACGCAAGAATTTCTCCACAACACAAAACCCGGGAGCCCCCAAAAACATCCAAACCCTTTGACCCCCAAACCCTTGGAAAGTAGATTGCCCTGAGCGCCATGGAATGACACCTAACCGAGCTATATAGGGCTAATTAGTATAAGGCTTCTGTGAGACTTCTGCGGGGGTTACATAACAGCATCCGCATCCACCCCATGGTATGACCCCCATCTGGAGATAAAGGTGGCTAAAAACCACAAAAGCCATGAACTCTCCGTAAAACCTATAACGTTGAAGAATCAAATCTGTGTGGGTCCAGTCCGCGCTTCATTTTCCACTTGAGTCTCCATTATCCGACATACATATATACATATATGTATATTTATACATGTATGCATATGTAGAATCCCTATTGGCTCTTTAATCGGATTCTATATTCCCCTAACAGTAGTTTCCGTTAAACCCTAGCCCCAGGAACTTCATCTCTGCATCGCCATCCTCTTCAATAAATTCCATCAGCTCCGCCCAAGTGGTAAGCTCCTCACCTCAAAGCAGGTCTCTAGTTTCAAGGGCCCTAATGGCATTCCACAGGGACGTCTGTAGTTTTTTTAACAGTAGGGGTTTAGAGGGCTTATAGAGGGTTGTTTGGAGTTGCATAGATGTTTATAGGGTTACTTAGGGTTTGATGTGTCACATGTTTGTGCGCTCCAAGCGGAGATGGTACGTTGTGAAAGGTGGGGAAGCCCAGATATGTCTATAGTCCCCCTTAAGTAGATAGAGTATGGGATATATGGGGATCTTATTATAATATACCCAAAGCCGAATTCTATCCACTTCAGGGGGACTATAACCGTTTCTGCTTTAAAAAAAGGAGGGTCTTGGCTTTGAAGTAGGAATGCTCCAGGTCACACTGGAGGCTTTGTGATGGGGACTGTTGCAGATCCCAGGTCTTCAGGCGGAGCCACCATGAAGGGAAGGATTAAGCACGGAATCTCTCTAAACTCTAAACCCATCCACCATTGCGGGGATGAACTGAAGCCACAGAGAAGGTCACACCAGGTCAGACGCAGAGGAATGCAGGAGTCATGCTCAGATGCCTAACTCACCTGGCTTAGGCAAACCGCCAACCTCTTTTGGGGCCGAAGTACGCGCAATGAGGGGTGATACCCCCGCAGTCAAGGGGGCCAGGAGTGTCTAGAAGTAAGTACTGACTGAAAAAAGGCCCGACCACACAAAAACCAAAGCCCGACAGCATCCTGCGCCCAAGCCATGGAAAGACAAAATGCTCCATGAATCTCAATTTGTTATGCCAACGAACTTTCAACAATGATGGGCATGCGGGATCATGCAGGACTTTGTCAGCGTGAGGCAAGGGACCTCTGAGGTGGATTGTCTCGCCCTGGCGCAGCTTCAGATATGGTCTGAAGGCCTTTTCCTTAGCGATTGAGCGGCTGGCTGAGAGCAAATCGAGCAGTGTGGCTTTAACTTGTGGGGGGTACAAATGCCACTTGGCAACTACTGCTGCTACTATAGTACAACTGCTACCGCCAATATTACTCCATCCTTTTGAAGGCCTTGCGTAGCTGGCATTGCAAAACCGTTTCTGGCATGTGCTCCAAATAGCAGAAGCCATCACGTGCTGTATGATAGCGTTGTACAAATGCTGACAAGCATCTCTAAACATGTATGCCGGAGCCTTGTCATCCACGGACGCCCACTTCAGGGGCGAGTCGCCTGCAGCGTGGAGCTTCTTGATGAGCTCTTGGAAGATTCCCTTGTTTGTCCGCGCAATGACCACGGTCCTTGGCTGGGGAGGTCAACAGGTTCCAGTACGAAAGTCAGAAGAAACATCTAAAGCATGGCACTTTTGCATCTCTAGCTCCCACAACTGTGAGCTTGATTAGATTGCAGAAGCGAGCTTTGATTGACCTCTCCCCAACACGAGACCATAGCTTAGCGGCCGGCGAAGAACTCTCGGCCCTAGAGCCAGACGATCCTGAACTTGCCATTAAAATGCACCACCACAGCCCAAGCTTACCATCTCTCCTCCCCCTGAGGCTCACGGCATCTCACAACCAAGTAGGGGAAATTCAACTTGTAACCTGAGAATATCCTACAGCCCCTGAAATCAGCACCATTAAGCACAACACTTAGTGTCTCGGACTACGC